CTCAGACCCAGGAGTCCAGGCCCCCAGCCCCCTTCTCCCTCAGACCCAGGAGTCCAGGCCCCCAGCCCCCTTCTCCCTCAGACCCAGGAGTCCAGCCCCAGCCCCCTTCTCCCTCAGACCCAGGAGTCCAGCCCCCAGCCCTGGTTGGGCCCTGGCCGCACCTGCACACAGTCCGTGTTGTACTTCCGGCAGACCTCTTCCACGGACATCTTGTGCTCTGTCTGAGGGACAGGAGTTTGGGGGGAATCAGGTGAGTGCTGAGTCCCTGTGAGAGGTGGGGCGGGGGCTGCTCTGGGGAGGGTGGGCTTACCATTGCCACCTCCTTCTTGAGGTCATCCAGATCCCGGCGGTCCTTGGTGCCCTTGCCCTTCTTGGGCGAGCCCTTGTCGTCTTTCTTGTCCTGTGAGGTGGCGACACGATAGCTATCAGAGCGACCAGACTGCGGGCGAGAAGGGGTTCAAGGGGGACACCGGCCCTCCACGCCCCTGGCTGCATCTCTCATCTCTGTGCCTGCTCCTAGTGTGTCTCTGAGCAGGCGCTGTCTCTGTGGGTCTCTGTCTCTCGGAGAGTTTCCCTCCGGCCAGCTCTGGGCATCTCTGAGAACCTCTGAGCGCGTCTCTGTCTCCCAGTCGGCCTCACTGTCTCGGACTCTCTATCTCTGAGTCTCTGTGTGTGTCTCTGTCGGATTGCTCTGTTTTGTCTACCTTTATCTCTCCACCTCTGTCTCCCTGTGTGTCTCTTTATCTCTCTGCCTGTTTCTCTCATCACTTTCTTTGTCTCTCTGCCTCTCTCTGTCTCTGCGTGTGTCTCTCTGAGCTCCAGCTCGTTATGTCTCTTACGACGTCTGTCTCCATCTCTTGGACTATCTCTCCCCAAGTGTGGCTGAGTTTCTCACCGTCTCTCTGGGCCCCTGTTTCTCCCCGAGTTGGTGTCTGTTGAGATCAAAGACTGTCTCCAAGTGCCAGTATTTTCTGTCTGTCTTCATCTTTATCCGTGTCTGTCTGTCAGTGTGTTTCTGTCTCCATCTCTTGCATTCTTTCTTTCTTTGTGATGCTCTGTGTCTGTCTTTCTCTACCTGTCTCTGCCTCTCTTCTGTCGTTTGTCCGTCTGTCTCTCTCTCACACTGGGATCGTTCTCTCTGTCCCTGTGTCTGTCTTTCTCTCTGGGTCCACCTCAGTGTGTCATCTCTGCCCGGGTCTCTGTCCTTCCAGCCCTAGGTCTTCCTGGGCCCCTCTCTCTGGCCATCGTCTCAGCCCAGCTGGCTGTTCCTGGGCCTCCCCACAGCCCCACAGATGTCTGAGTCTCTGTCTCTCAAAGGACCTAGCAAATCTTTGCAGCCCCCACAGGCCTGGCAGGGAGGGAGGAGAAAGGGCACTCCAGGTGTGGGTCACAGCTGGGACAGGGGCCTGGGAGGAGCCTGCTGTGCACAGGCAGTGGCCTGGCTGGAGCACAGGCCAGTCCTGAGGGCCTTGGCCTCTCTCCTGGGGGCTGCTGGGATCCGTGGGCGCATGAGCGGGTGGGTGCAGTCAGGTCTCTGTAGGACCAAATTGGAGCCAGGCAGGATTTGGGGTGCAGAAGAGCAAGAGGCAGGACCCCAGGCCTGGTCTGAACTGAACGTGGTGAGGTGAGTGACTGGCACTGCAGTCTGGGGGTCCGGGCCTGGGCAGGAGAGGTGGGGTGAGGCTGGGTGCTGTCAAGGGCTGCTGACCGATGCTGCAGGCCCAGGGCAAAGCTGGGATCCAAGGCTCAGCGCAGCTCAGCACTAATCCCCTTGTGACCTTGTCAAAGGACTGATCTGCCTGCTGCCTGCCCCCAGAACCAGGCGCAGACGGGTGGGCACGGAGAAGAGCTGCAGCTGGGAGGCCTGGGAGCAGGAGGAGGGGTGCAGGGTGGGTGGGAGGCCTGGCCTCGGGCCAGCCCTGCAGCAGCACTGCATCTCAGACAGGAGACAGGCTGGGGACAGGGAGGCGCCCCACCTGTACCTCCGCAGCAGGAAGGTCCCCACCTCTGCAGGCAGCCAATCCAGGAGGGTGTGATGTGGAGACAGAAGGTCCTGGGGTCAAGGCTGAGAACTGGGGCAGGGGGCAGGCAAGAGAGTGGGCCTGGCAGGAGTGAGAACACTGGCTGCCCACCTCTGAAACCTTAGGGAAGGTTGGGAAGCTGAGGCTAGGGTCCTTATCAGGGATAAGGGTGGGGGCCCAGATTCCTGGGTCTGAGGGAGGAGGGGGCTGGGGGTCTGGACTCCTGGGTCTGAGGGAGGAGGGGGTTGGGGCCTGGACTCCTGCGTCTGAGGGAAGAGGCGGCTGGGGTCTTGAACTCCTGGGTCTGAGTAAGGAGGGTCTGGGTGCCTGGGCTCCTGCGTCTGAGGGAGGATGGGGCTGGGGGCTTGAACTCCTGGGTCTGAGGGAGGAAGGGGGCTGGGGCCTGGACTCCTGGGTCTGAGCAGGAAGGGAGCTGGGAGCCTGGACTCCTGGGTCTGAGGGAGGAGGGGGCTG